ACTGTGTGCAGAATATTTTTAACAGGTACATCAGAAATGTAGCCGCAATCCTAAGACCAGTATACTTCCTGAAGTGTATCCCCAGTGTGTTAATCAGAGGTAAACACAAGGTATAGTGTTCTACAGTGTGAGAAAAAGTGTTTAGTTAACAGCCATTCTGAAGGCTATCCTTAGTATGTAATGCAAAGGTAACCTTAAGATGTTCCACGTATAACTGACAACCCGACGCCTTTCTTTCAAACTTGTCAAACTTTAAATCCAAGCAGACACTCACCACATACTGTACGTCCGTCTGTTCTTGTGAACGCAATATTTTGGAACGCCTGGAGGGGATTTCTTCAAATTTGACATAAACGTCCACCTGAACACAAGACAAAAACGACAAGATTTTGATGGTCAAAGGTCGCTGTGACCTCACAAAGGGCTTTAACTCAAGAATTGATATGTTAATTATGATCCTTTGATGACATTTTGGACAGATATGGATGTAAATTGAAAGTTGAATGGTTGGTGGGAAGTGTGCAAAAAGTATGAACAGTACTTGAAGAACACTTTTAATGTTTTTAGTTTGAACGCAGTGTACTAACAGTATATTTAGATGTAGCTGTTGTTTGTAGGGGGTCTGTTTCTCTCATGATGCTAGATGCAGGTTAAAGTAAATCTAATGAAATGTGATGTCATGAAGACTGTCATCCCTTAACAACAGCTAAATGTGGAAAATGATCCAAGTTACTTGTGTGTGGGAGACTAGGAGTGTAGGATCTTTGTTATATAGTATATTCTGTTGAAACGGTATTTAAGGGAGGAATGCCACATGTGGAGGAATCATTCCATATTCTCCATACTTGAATCAATCACCTCATTCATCTTACAGCTTTCATCATTGTTTTGTTTCCTTCTCTCTGTCTCTCCTCGCTCACAGAGTCAGTAGAAGACATTCCATCAGTCAAAAAGACCATTCAGCAAGCTACGGGTCAAGCCAGCAAGCTGCTACACCCCCTCAACCATGACTACAAAAAGTTAGAGGTCAGTGGACTCCAAACTCTGAACTTCTTAGTGGAAAAACTAGCTTGCCAGTGAAACTGTGACCAGATTTAAGTATCCACTTGACCTGAACGTTACTGAGACACAGCAGCACCAGAGAAGCAGACTCAAACTATTGAGGCGCTGCTAGTTTATGGGTCCTTTATCAGGCAAAATTCTTGAATTGGATATTTTGGTTCACACCCAAAAGGAATGGGAGCATGTATGAAAGCATGAATGCGTGCACTGTGTATAGATACAGACATAGTTAATTTAGCTGTGTTTTAGCTCTGATAATAGCATTTCAGAAACGTTTCATAATTATTATGATGATAACATGTCAAGCCCAAATAAAGATCAAAATGAACCAAATAAACTGGTCCCCAAAGCGGGCGGTGAGCCTTCCTCTGACAATGGCGAAAGATCATTACGTTTCTGCGGTGGAAACTAGGCTTAAAAAGAACAGTAGATATTCACCACCATCTGCATATCAGATCAAACATGACAAGTAATAAAAAGTATAAAGATAAAGTCGTATGATAATAACACTCTTCAGGCAATCACCAGCATGGACTGTTTTCAACATGGTGGCCGGATCACAAACTTTCTAATTTGTAGCTGAACAGTAAAAACACTGGAATATGTTCTGAATGCATTTGAGTCCAGAAACAGGCAATACAGTCACAGAATATTGATTCATATTTGATCAGCGCTGCCTAGTTTGGCATATTGATCAGAGTTCATGAGCTTCACCTGCAGGGATTGACAGCTGCATCAGAGTATCAGTGGAATCTTAATGCCATTAGGAGCACTAAAAGGTGGCAGAGGAACCTGATTTCTTCACAGATGATCGGTCTCATGTGCTACTGTCACTGATATAGGGACAGTTTGAGCAAGTGTATTTATTGAATTGCACTTCTGTCCATCCTGGGAGAGGGATCCCTCCTCTGTTGCTCTCTCTAAGGTTCTCCCCGTTAAAGGATTGTTCCTGTTCTGATGTGAGGGTTCCGGGACAGAGGTGTCAATACTCCGTTTTTTGATAATTTAGCCCTGGGACCCGTTTAATACTGAGTTCCATTACCTATCCCTTACCGTTGGGTAATGGAAAAAAACGAAGAAGGCTCTCGATGGTGCCAGTGTAGAAACATGGTGGTGCAAGATGGCGGACTCTGTGAAAAAGAGCCACTATCCTTGTAGAATGTTCCACATACATGTCACACACTGTTCCTTTAAGTAGAGCGAACAAAAACGATCATAATGCTGACACATATGGACTTCATTCTACTTGTCAATGCGATGGAGTAGAAGCCTATCTAATGTGAACTTCCTCCATCATCTGTTCTGACAGTGTGTGTGTGTTATCTTTCTCCACCTGTAGGATTTCATCAATCAGCTGATGTTCATGGAGACGGCCATCACCAGAGCTCGCTCCCTCAAGGCCAAATTTGCCAGTTGTGAGGGCGGGAAGGGAGAGGACACAGAAGAGCTAGAGAAGTAAGTTACTCAGCGTTTTATTTGAGCATCATGTCAGTGAGAGACACGGCGACAGCGTTTCCCCTTAATCAACTGCCTTGGGGGGGGTGTTGGTGACACAGATGGAGTATATGGTACTCATTTTAAGTACATTATAGCTAATAAGTAAGATAAACGTTGTGTTTGCTGATGTTCTTTGACTAAAGTTAAGTCTTAGCTACTTAGCTTGTAAACAGCTGTGGCCTGCTGGTGTTATCTGGGAGCATAGCTGAACTTACCAATGTTTACAGTACCTTTGTACTTTTTAGAAGTTTAGCTAGTTCAAGGTGCAAATATGAGACTTTCATTTTGGCAATTCTCTAAATTGATAGAATGATTTTGAATATATATGTAGTCAGAGATGTCCAGAACTCAAATATATCAGTCATTGTCAGACATTTTGGAGCAATGTGTTTTTACAGCAGCTCAATCAAGTACTTCGAACTTGATTTAGAAACTGACCATTTACAGCAAACGGTTAAACGGTTTGGTGGAAAGCCTCTGCTGTTTAAGATTGTGCTGAACACACAGGCATTAGGTCTCAAGAGGATGTTGGGCTGGTGGAGGGAACTGGGTTTATAATGGGCCTCCATGTGAATATGATTGGAATGAAAGAGCGGATGTCAGATAATGTAGGCATGACTTAACTAACGCTATCCCCATGTGTACCAATCAGTTGCACTGACCTATTTATTCTACTGTGACCAACATTTGATGTCTTCCTCCAGGTTTGTGAGCTCCCTTTTGGAAGAACCAGAGGTGGTGGTGATTGGAGCTGGCCAGGGGCCGGCCGGCAGCATCATCCACAGGCTGTTTGTCAACGCTCAGGGGGTAAGAAGCTTCACTCTCCTGCTCCCTGTGATACAGTTCACCAGGGGGGGGGGGGGTTCTCTCAGGATGTGTTCATGGTAGGAATCTTACCATGTGACGAGACCAGGTATTGTAGGTATAAGTTTCATTTCAAGTTTGGAAATGGAAGTAAAATTGCAAGCTAATGACACAAACAGGTTGCTTCAACTGATCATCTGTTCTTCATGTCCGTCTGTCAGCCAGCGGTTTAGTTTACTGAGACATAGAAGCCGATTTGAATTGAAATTGCAAAAGGTACTTTAATGATGGCTATTTTGCCTGCTATATGATTGTAGTATGTAACAGAGTTGTTTATTTATTCTTATCTTACTGAAAATGCCTAAATAGCTTGTGGAATAAAAAAAAAGAATTAGCATTAGCATCCAAAAACTGTAATGCCAGTGAGTGTTGGGACAAACGCTACAACATTATAAAGATCTTTAAAATATCATACCCCCACTCCAACTTAAAATATATCGATGCAATACTAGAGCCTCACAATGGATTCCACCATCATTTGGACTGGGTCATCAGCCGTGGTGTTTGGGTATCTTGTGAGGACCCTCGCTTGTGCACAGGAGACGCTGTAAACGAGAGCAGGTTTCATTTATTACGGCTGAAAGTGTTTTTGTATCCGATATTCTCACATCCCTCACAAAGTCAAATAACTAAACATATCCTAACATTTTTACTAAGCACATTGTCAGAGAGTTCTCTAAACTCCTCTCCTTCGACATTCTCTTCCTGAGCGCCATTGCCTGCATTAGCAAAATATCAAGTCTCCCACAGTGTAGCGGGCTCCCCTGGTGTAAATGGTAAATGGACTATACTTGTATTGTGCTTTTCTTCCGTCCACTCAAAGCGTTTAACGCTGCATGTAGCATGTAGCAGGTTCTCCCACGGTGTAGGGGGTTCTCCCAGGGTGTAGTGGGTTCTCCCTGTTCATTCAATAACTCCAGTGACAACTGTACATATGTAAGACTTATAACGTATGCATGATATCAACAACAATGGCTTGACAGCATCAAGAAGAGAGTGATTGTCCGTTACACACACAATGGGCAAATTGTTCCGTGTGCAATCACCTGTGGTAAGTTCTGAGTAGAGTGTAGCCAAAAAGACTGCACTGTCAATGCCATCTGCAAGTGCCAAAGTCTCTCTTGCTAAGGTGCTTCGGACAACTCTCCTGATCCTCTTCCACTGCCAGCATATGGGTGAAAATCTTCCATTCTCTCCCATAAGCATGACCAGGTGTCCGCCTTGAGTGCCTCTGTCTGGAAGGTTTCCCATTGAGGAATCACTGAACACCACTAGTTTCAGCGAGCTGTCTTTTCCCAAGTGCTGAAACCTCAAGATCACCTCTTCTGATTTCAGTTTCCTGACAAGTTTGTTTGCACAGTGCAGAGTCTGAACAGTAGCATGCTTTGTACTTGATGCAAGGATGGATATGTCGCACATTATTTCGGGTCTACTCTGTCTGTGTGGCAGACTGCACATCTTGATCTTCTCCCATATCTGTCAAGTGGATTCGTCCCTTGAACAGCCGTATGGATCTGTGGGCTTGACCTGACATTACTTTCATGCTTGCCGGAGGTCATCAGCTCCCTCTTGTGGAGAATTATCGCCAAAGATTCTCTTCGAGGCTGACTTCATGTTTACAAACGAAAGGTTTGGACACGCAGTAAGTGTTAATTGTTTGTCTTTAACATCAACTCCTGCAGTATCTAGTAGCTTGAAAGCTAACACAGCATCTGGAAGCTCCATCTTGAACTTACGTATTCTGTTGTACCGGCGTTCAAACTCGACAATGTAATCGACCATGGAGGCGCCATTTTCTCTTGTGATCCGGTCAAACTCTGTGTACGCCTCGTACTGGCGATCCTTTTCCTCTTTCAAAAACACAGCGTCCAATTTCATGAGAAGTATATTCATTCCTTTGTCGTTCAAATACACTGCGGCAATTTCTAGTGCACAATCCCTCACTCTTCCCATCAGCAATAAAGCGACCGCCAAGGCCTGCTTCTTCTCCTCGAGGTCCGTGTTAAGGTGAAAACTTCTCGGAACAATGGAAGGCCGCAGGTCGCCAAACTGCAGCGTCTTTCGTCCACGAAGCAGGGCCAAAAAACTCAGCTGGTTCAAGTTACAATCAAAAGTATTTTAATAATTAACGGAAGCTAAAACAGTGACAAACCGAATCCCACTATTAGTAACATAATATTTCATGAAATTGAGGCCCAATCCGGGCCACCCGGCAGAGTAGTGTCTGGCCGATGGTCCGCAGAGGATCTCCAGATGTCCGTAGATCCACAGTCTTTTGTGTGTCAGTGTCTCTGAGATGTCCCGTATCAGCTCAGTGATTGGCTGAAATCCAATAAGCTCCTACTGGCTTATGACTCATTCTTCTGGTCCGGCCTCCTCCTTACTTAAAGCAGCATACTCCAATATCCTCGCTTGGCCATCCTGCACTCATTCATATGGGCGTATCTGAAAACCCTATCTGACCTAATACTTAATACATTTCAGCAAATCTTCTTCACAGTGTTTAATACATCCAATGACTATACATACAGTGTTAAATATGCTAATGACTATGCTTTTTGGTTTAAACTTCTATAAGTAAATATACTATAACATATAATATCCACCACTAGGGGTGCTATTAAACATACTTAGGATTGCTTTTAAACTTTAATTACTCACATCCGTCGCCAGTCTCCAAATTTCAACCTCATTTTTCCAGCTCTCGTAAGACTTCTTCTCGTCAGTGGAACTTTGTAATTGCCAGCCGCCATCCTCTGCCACCATGTTAATTCAATAACTTCAGCGACAACTGTACATGTTTAAGATTTTACAAAAAAAACTTATGCATGACATCAACACAACAATGGCTACACATCTCTAGAACTAAAATCTTTACACACATACGCACTGGTTAACTCAGTGCTTAACACTCCCATGGTGTAGCAGGGCAACATGGAACCCACATTCAGTCTTTGCTCCACCTGACAGTCCTGTAGATTAATGAATCTTGAATGCTACGTAGGGCGGGTCTGGAAGAAACTGAGCAAATCTTGAATGCTATTGCTTTGGGAACTAAATAGTCAATTTATTCAGATAATCCTCATTCTCATTCCAGCTGTTATCGATTCCTTGTTCTGATTCTTGGCAAATTCTTTCAACAAAAAATAAATCAAGAATGCTGGGAGCCAAAACCTCTTTTATTTCCTGCACATTTAAGTTGTAACAACTTGTCTTCTCTGAGTAGAGCTGTGATTTCGTGATGCAGCTTAACATTCTAATCTATCTGTTGTGAAACTGTGCTGCTCCTTTGCATTACGATACATATGTATGTGTATGCTTGTGAGGTAATTTTTTCCAAGCAAAACATACCAAACGTGCTTCTTCTTTTTTGTTCTACGTTTCCTCCATTCGACTGTATTTGTGTGTTGTTTCTTCCCCTGCTGCTTACGTCAAGCTGGCTGACTTCACCAGTGATGAGGTAACTACCAGTATACCTCTATACCTACCGGTATACCTCTATACCTACCGGTATAGCTCTATAGTAAGTAAGTAAGTAAGTAAAATGTATTTATAAAGTGGTTTTTACAGACATAAGTCACAAAGTGCTTAACAGGGCAGAACTACAAACATAAAAAAACACAATGTGACCATAGGGCCTATAATTTGCATACACACAGAAAAATTAAAACATGGTTTAAAAGCAGGTCTAGGACATGAGTTTTACCCAAACGCCAGTCTAAAGAGGTGAGTTTTGAGCTGATTTCTGAATGCGTTCACAGAATCTGCAAAGCGTAGTGGTGCCAGCAGAGCATTCCACAGCCTTGGTGCTACTGCCTCAAAAGCTCGGTCACCACGGGTCTTAAGGCGAGTGTGTGGGACAGACAGAAGATCTAAAACGTTTGACCTGAGAGCACGGGCGGGTGAATAGGGGTGAAGTTTTTAAATAAACATATAAGCACGAGAGAACAAACTGCTCTTAACTGCAACTCTTTATTAGCTTAACTTCCACATGCTGCACGTTACTGCCATGGTACAGACTACAGGTTCCATGCTTCACCTACATTCCCCTGGGTCCTAAGTCCCTCCATGTACAGCTTATTATCACCCTCTATGTACCAACGTACATTTATAACAAATAACACACATATTAGAGTTTTTAAAGTGTTTTGTTTGTAATATGTATAATAATCACATCATTTAGTTATCACTACTGAGAATTCAACAAACATAAAAACATGACGTAGATAGGTTTGCAGTTTTCAAGGTGTATATTTCAAATTGCATCTATTACACACATGAAGATAAAGTTGTAAACACCGGCTGAATATCTATTATCAGAATCATAACAGTATTATAACTGTATAATTGCTACTGTGTAAAGGGAATACTGCTGTTAAAAAGAACCTGATTTGTTTAAAGTGTTTGCAAACCAAATGTTATTGCACTTTTGTTCATATAGCAGTACTCTTAAAATAAAAGTGCGCAATACACTACTTTTGAATT